GCTGGCAAGATGAAAGAGTGGAGCAGAGCTGCTGGTTGTTTCCCAGTTTTGTTCTCACATAAATTCTTGTAGTAAGTCAGGAGTTTAAGAGACTGAGCAGGCTTAGTCTCACCTTTAAGCCAGGTAATGGTTTAGAAATGGTGTCAATCGGCCCCTGGTGCAGGTAGCCCTGGGGCCGTGGGCGCCGCAACGTTATGTTATGCAACGTCCCTGCTCTCCTCCAGCAGCAGCTCACGCGGTGGCCGAGCCCGGGAACGCGGAGCCCAGGGCAGCGGCGGCGCTTCAGCACCTCCAGGAACCCCTTCCGTGGGGAACCCCGGCGCTGGGAACCCCGGCACGAGCAGCTCGGTGCATGTGTGGAACGGGAGCCGATCCGGATCGCCCGGACACGAGGCCGGCATCTCCTGGGCCACCTTGTTCACCACGAGAAACTTCCCAAGGGCTTCGTTTTCCTTCCTCCAAATCATATATTCTGTCCCCAAAACCCCTCACCGGTTAGTGCCCATGTGGTAAAGAAGGTCCTGGTTAAATCTCTTTATCCTGTGGCTGTGGAAATCCCTTCCTCTGCTGAGGCCCGATGCATGAATTTCATGGAGTGGGAAGAGTCGGAACAGTTCTGGAAAGGGGCAGTAACACCTTGGGATCCAACTCCAGCTCTCTGAATGAGTCAAGAGCATGTGCAAAAAGATCCAACTGAGGCACACGGAGATGATTGTGACCAGAAACTCTCTCTCTACCAGATATTCTCAAAGAAATGTCGCAGTTAGAGCTTAATGGGATAATATCAAGGATTAAATGATATGGAATAAGAGTAGGGGTAAAGAGACAGTAACACTGATAACTTTTCACTGAAGCAGGAGTTGTCAGAGCTGTTCTGGAGTTTGCTTTGCTTGTTTTCTTTATGCCTCTCTTTCCCTCTGCCTCMCTTAGGAATATTAAAGCAGAGCATTTCTCTATGAGAGCAAACTCTTTGAGAGAGGAAAAGGGGGAAACGAATTGCAGAGAGTGCTGGAAAGCTCTCATGAAAGTGAGAACGTGATAAGGTAACAGTCAAATTCTACGTTGATTAGATAACATTTAATCTTAACAGTGTGTATACRGGAATTAGCCTCTGAAGTAGCTTTTCTCACTCAGGAATGAGATTTTAAGGTTCTGGCCTTAAACTTATGGAAAAATTAGTATACTGAGGTGTGCTTTGAAATCTCATGGGATTTATTAAGTAATTATTAGGTAGAAATAGAAAGCAAAACATCTTCCTTATGCCTTTGTGTGTCCCTGTTGTGGCCCACGTCTGTGTTTTTGTCTGGGCTGTTAGTCTAAGATGAGAGCAAAGAAATGGAGAAGGTGCYGGGGGTGATGCAGGGTACAGTACAATTGTTATGGGATGGGTGAGTAAATAGAGGGGTGAAAGRGGTGCCCCCTAAGAGCACACGACATCCAGAAGGCAAATGCTGCTGAAATGGGGGGTTATTTCGCCCAATTTCTGATCAAGTGTCYGTTTGACGAATGGAATTAGCAGGTGAGGGGTTCAAAGCAAACGATAGTTGACTCCACGTTATGTAACGTGCRGTGAAGCCACAGAATTTCTTGCTGCAGGGTAGTAATTGCTGAAGTTTCCTGGACTGAAAAGCTCTGTCATGTGTTTGTGCAGGAAAAAATACACTGTGGGCTATAAAACAGGAAAAATACTGTGGATGTGATTGATGCAGATGCTTAGTGAGCTGCACATCCCTGGCACTTGGATGGGACTGTCTTGGGAGACTTCCATGTGTGCATATCCTTTCTCCCCTTGCTCCGTGGAAGCAGGTGGTGGGGCTGGATGAGCCCTTGGTTCCTGTGTGGTGTAGGTTCTGCCTACACTATGCTCTGGGTGCTGCTTATTTCCTTTCTAAAGGTCTCTTTGGAATATATAAGGTGCTGAGCAAACCTCTAGCTGGCTCCGTGCACAGCACTTGATTTTGGCTATTATGGATGTTCCTTGGCTGCTGCGCTGCACTATTCCTGTCAGCAAAGGTTCAGACCAACAACATAGGAAGGGCTGTTTTTCTCCTGAGTACCCCTGTAATATAAATACTTTTGTCTCTCTGTAAAAGCATTTTGGCCCAAAATGACAAATCCCTATTCGTTTGGGGATACAGACTGAACAAACCGAGTAAAGGCTGCAAGGCTGGTTTAAATGGACCCACGTGGATCCTAGTTTTTGTTGGCGTAGTTTGGATGTAGCTTCATACGTGTGGTTACACATGTGGTACTTCACATGCAAGATCCCTGTGGCTGCAATGAAACGTTTTGCAAGTATTTGAGCATCTGATGCTTGTGAAGCCTGAGCAACAGCTACCACGTAACTCGGGAGATAACGGGGCTTTATACACAGCTTTTTGGTGGGTTTGTGCCAGCTGCAGCTTCGAGTGGGTGCTAAGGTGGTGTCCCAAGGCCAGGGTGCTACGCCCATGTGAGAAAGGGACGTTTAGAGATTGCAGGGGTGTTCCCAGTGCAGAGAGGCCTCTCTGCATCGCCAGACCCGACGCAGCCACTGGGATGCAGGAGGAAGAGTCGGCATAGCAGGAAAACCGGAGGCAGCTCCGGGTCTGAGCGTGACACAGGTAGGGACCCGGCCGCGGATCAGCGCTCCTGAAAGGAGGAGCGCTCGCTGTGCTCCCCATGTCTGATGCCTTGAGGTGCCCTCCGCGTCCCTGCTGTCCGCACACGGCTCAGCCTGGCTTGGGGAAGCGCTGGCCTCCGAAGGGAGCGATTCACAGGAACGCAGGATACATATACATCCATATATATGTGTATGATATATATATACATATACATATGTGTATAGAGAGCTCGATGTTATGAGGCTCAGCAATACCACGAGTGGTCTGGCTGCAGAAATAGGGGAGGCCAGACAGTGACGCTTGAAAAGCTGCCTTCATGCCCCGTGCCACGGGACGGCGAGGTCAAAGAAAACCTCATTTGTCTGTGGGAAATCAGATTTTGAGAGGGGAACACGCTGTTCGTTGCAGGATTTATTGTAATATGCAACTATTCAAGAATCATTTCCCCGACAAGCCGACACTGATGGGCCGTGGCAGCGGCCGCCCTCTCCTCCAGTGGATCCAGAACCTTTCCCTTGAAACGGGGTAACCTGTCTCCATCGTGGGCTTCGTGCACCAGCTAAAGGTAAAAGGGAAGCTTAACTTTCCCAGCAGTGCTGAGAAGCACATTGCAAGGGGGTGATGTACCCCAATAATCCCTTTGGAAGGTGCGAARTGCGTGCACATGAGAGCTGCTCCCCATTGCATCTGCGGGCTGGAAGCTGCCTGGGAAGGCGGGAGCCGAATCCCAGCACGTGGAGTCGGGTGTTGGGAGAACCATGGAGCAGCAAAGCCATTTTATCCTCTAAATCCTCTTTAATGCTTCGTGCTCCTCCCATTACTTAAATTTGGAAGGCTTTGGTTGGGATGCTTTCTCCTTACCACCTTCCTTTAGCTTTTATTCTAGGGTTTCTTGCAGGGGACAATGAGCTTGGCTCCAGGTTGCCTATTATTCCATGGTGTAAAAGCAGTTCCCCCATAGGGATGCCCTGCTTTTCTGTAAGGAMCCCTGTGCCTCTTGGATATGAGTGGGGACAGCAGCCAGGAGCACTGAATTGGGGTGTTTTGGGTGTTTCTGAGGCCAGGGACCCACACTGCAAGACTGGCCACGTTTGGTTGGGGAGGAACCATTCCCAAGTTGAATTCAGCTACTTTACAACCTCCCTGACCTTCTCTTAACACCACTTCTGCGTAGCCCCCGTGTGAGCAGGCGGATAAAGCAGGTTCTGGGATGTTCCCGTTGGATGCTCATCTCCCTGCTGTGGGAAGGAGGAGCTGACGGAGCTTTCCGGACACTCCGTGTCCCGGTTCCTCGGAGGTGACTTCATCTCAGGAGCTCGAGGCCGCACGCTGCTCCCCGGCCATCGGCTGCAGCGACCTGGCCACCCCGTGCTGCCCTTGCAGGCTGCTTGCAGAGCCCAGCACTTTGCACCCCGCGCAGTTCCCTTGCTGTTGAGCGAGGTAGTTTCTCTTGGCCATTTTTCATTCCTTTCCCAACCTCAGGTGGAATTTAAGATCAGTCGTTGTTCTGCTCTAGGCTGAATGCACTTAACCATTTCTGACACCAAATCAGAGGGATTTTCATTTTTTTGTTGTTTATTTTTTTTCCAGAAGTGGATCTTTTTTTTTTCAGAAAAAGGCTCTTTGGGGAAACAAGCCCTAGGGAGTGAGAGATGGGGAGACTTTTCAAAGGGGACCCCTCCCATCAGTTTATCCACAGGCTGCCTGTGACTTCGAGCAGGGTAGCAGGGGGAGATGCTCCTCAGGCTGTCAGATGGACTGTTCTGGAGAAATCCTTTTAAGGCTAATATATAGTTTAAGTATGTAGGATTTGCTGCGTTGACCTGGGAAAGGAGCAAAGGAAAGAGCTAGAATGGTGCCGACTCGGCGGGGCTCTGTGGGAGCAGGTTCAAACCACCCCTGGGTGGCTTTGGGGCGTGGGTGTCACTGTGCTCTGGTTCTCACACTGTGCTTGAGGGTTTGCAGAGGAGTTCTGAGCTTGGGGACTGTTCTGGACCCCAGGGCTGTGCCTGGATTCGAGCCCTGGCAGAGCTAGGGGACTCCTGAGGGTCAACTGTGCCCTGGTAAAGGCTGTAGAGTAACTGTGAGGAGATGGATCTTTCTTCTWAGAAGTCTGGACAAGATTTGGGCTTTTCAGGAAAAGTTGTGGTGTCTCTTTTGTAGACAATTTTTGCTGTAGATTACTGAGAAAAACCTTCCCCGTGCAGTGATTGTGCTTCGTGTGAGTGGAGTTTCTGCAGGAATCATTTATTTCCTTCATTTATATAATAACTTACTAAGTAACAGCAGCCCTGTGGTATAGCTAGTTAATTATCAGCCCATCTTGGCCCAGGTGCTTTATGAAAATACTGTAATGGTAAAATTGTTCTTTTTTTTTTTTTCCCTTCTCGCCTCCAGGTCCCGGGTCCCCGTGCGGCGTCTGAATGGCAGTGTGCCCCTTCTCTGAGTACCAAACCAGCCCGTCCTCTTGATGCACCCTCACAGCATCATGGCCAGCACTCAGGAGCGCCTGAGCTCGTCTTCCTCCCCCGGCTCGGCGGGCAGAGCTTCCTGTGAGGAGAAAGACTCGAGCCCGTTCCCCGAGGAGCAGGCGGATGCTCGTGCCGCGGCCTCGCCGCCCGCCGAGCTCATGGAGAGCGCCAGCAGCCCCGGCACGGCCGCCGTGCTCACCAGCATGAGCGAGGACTCCCGGGAGCACTTTGAGAACAGCGTGCTGCAGCTGCGGGAGCACGAGGAGCCCGAGACGCCCCTTCCCCAGGGCCCCAGGGGCGACGGCGACGGCAACGGCGGCGCCGAGGACGTGAAGGTGCAGTTCAACCGGTCGGGCAGCGGCAGCGGCGGCTTCCTCGAGGGCCTCTTCGGCTGCCTGCGGCCCGTGTGGAACATCATCGGCAAGGCGTATTCCACGGACTACAAACTGCAGCAGCAAGGTAAGCAGGGGAGCCAGGCGGCGTTTCTGCCGGGGCGAATGTGGCAAGAGGAGGAAATCGGCCCCGGGCCTGTCCCCAGCTCTCTGTGTGACTGTTTTTGTCTGATATTGCCCTCTTATGGRTTTGCAAAGCAAAATTCTGGGTGTACATCCAACAGCCATTGTCTGCAGCAATGGCAGCTAGTGATGGAGGAAAAACCTGCGTGTTCTAGGCCATGCCTTGGACCCCCGTGGCAGGCTGAGGTTGAACCAAGCATTTGCTTAAGTGAGGATTGGGAATAACTGTGGCAAACACAGGGGTCCCACCAACTTCTTGGCTTCTGCACTCGTGCCACGGGAGCTTGATATGGACCTTTGTCCTGCACGTGGCTGTGGGGCTCTGTGGCAGGTAGCACAAGTACTGCTTGTCTGCGAGCCTGTTACTTCTATGCCTTTTGATCAGGAGTAGATTACACTTTTTTATGTATTTCCATGGAAAAGTATGTAGCTGGGGACAGGATAATGTCCTAAACAAGCGCACACTTAGGTTTTTAGTGGCTCTGAATGCTGAGGAGCTGTGTGTCTGATGCCTGCGGTGTCTAATTTCCCCCCTAGCACAGGGCAGGGAAAAGCCAGATGGGAACAGGACAGGCTGTGTTTGAATTAAGGAACTGAGCTGCTTGAGGGGGCTTCTTAGCAGCAATGGGAGCAGCCTGGACACTGCACCCGGCTGTGGGGCAGTGCTGTCCTGTGTGGCCACCGTTGTGGCTCGGAGTGAGGGAAATGGTTTTCTGACACGGACAAGCTGTTGGAAAATCATTGACAGTGTTTTGAGGTGGTTTGTGTCTGAAGCACAGGGATTTAGTGGGGAAGACGGGGATTTATGGGGACGAGTTTCCTGTAGGAACTGTGAAATAAATATAAAATCTTCTAAGTGAAYGTATAGGTGTAAGTGGGACCGTCAGTGCTTCTTGGCCAGCTCTGACGGAGCGGGCTCGTCAAAGGCTGCCTGAGCWGCAGGTCTGCAAACAGCCACATCGGATCAGCTCTGAACCCAAAGCAACGGGGTTATACCTGGCACGGGGTAGTTTTGGAAAAAACAAAGCTGCTAAATAGGGGTCCAGATTGAGACAGACTTGGGCTCTTTCTGCTTCCCAGCTCAGGGCAGAGGAATTTCTGTCTGTGCTGCAGTAGCAGCCCCTTGTGCACAAGACTCAAGAGTTTGCTTGTATTTCAGCTCCTCCAGAGCACGTGGCTTTTGTCAGAATTGGTCCTGACCTTGTAGGCCTGTGTTGGACTCTGGCATGTGAGGTTGAGCATCTAAATAAGAGGTGACCCCAGATTCCAGGGGAATTGGCACTTTGGGAGCATTGTGCACTGCAGAGCTGGACGCGGTTAGGCYTGGGAGAGGAGCCTGGCTGGGGAGCCTCTCCTGTAGAGGCAGAGGAGCTGCTGAGTAGTCGGTGTCGTTCCAAGGAGGCTGGTTTCAGGGTGTTGTTGTGAAGCCTCCTGGGCTTGTGCGCCCAACTCCTGTGTGTGACACTGACATTTCCCAAGGAAAGGACACGCACGCGCTCGCTTGCTTGCTCTCTGGCATCAAATAATGACGTTTTCTGTGATAACGTGATACGATGAAGAGAACACAAGGTGCAATGTGTGTGTGTGGTGTTTTCAAATGAACATTCATAATTTGGGGCCTTCAGCCYCTATTTTGATGTGCTGCTCAGAGCAAGAGGAAAGCCCCTCCTCAAGGCAGTGCCCTCTGAGCAGGGAGGTGGCATTTGGGGCATCACTGGGACAGGTCCCYCTCCAGCTGTGCTGGAGAGCTCAGTGCAACACGTGCTTTGATGGTCCCCAAGGGACCCCTTCTGTTGGGTGGAGGTTGAGCACAGAGAAGATTCAAGCACCAGCTCATGCGAATGAACTGCTGGGAATGTTGTGTTTTAGGGGATTTGCATTTAGGGGATCTCCGTGCGTGGTGCCTTGCCCTCGGGCTGTTGTGGCYGGGTTTGCACAGGCGCTGCTGGAGCTCCATAAGTAGCTGTCCGGGGAACATTGATGATCTTGGCTCCTGGCACTGCTTGGATGTCTCGGGTGGCTTGTCCCACGTCCTCTCCTTCCCAGCACTGTCCCGAAGTGGAAGCATGAGCCCGATTTTCCAACATTGAACCTTGCTAAGGTCCTTGAGGGTGRTTCTGAGAGCTCTCGGGAGCATTTGCCCAGAGAATTTATATGTTTGTTATTTAGCAGGTGAGTTTGTGTGGTAGCAGAGAACCCTGGCTTGCACCACGGATACTAACAGACCCCAGTTTTAAGCTGCTTTCCTCCTCCAGCCTCAGTTTGAGGGAAGTTTCKCAGTGCTCCTTGTGTTTTGTGAGCCAAATTCATCCCTGATGTTGGCTATCCAGAAATGCAGTGACCCTCTCCTGTACAATGAAAGGGTTTTTAATGGGTTTTATGGTGCTGTATGGGCTGCCTTTTTGTTCTGCTTGAATTTCCAGCAGCTGCAGGATGCTTCCCTGGGGACTGTGTGGCTGCTGCTGTCCCTAACCCTCTTCCCTGGCCCTGCTCTTTGGGGAGCAGGTGGGATATTCCGACCCTGCTCCATCAGGAAAGGACCTTTCTTGCCAAACAGACCCAGCTGCAAACGTGTGCTGGCTTTGTTTGCAGCCTCTGTGCTTTTGCCTTGGCAAAAGGCTGYGAGGAATATTAAGAGACAATTAAGGCTCCTAAGTGATATCAGCCATTACTAGGCACAGGCTCCKGGTGCTTCAGGGAAATAAATGACAAAATCGTGAAGCTTTTCGAGGAAAATCAGTCTTCTCCCATGCAAAGGAGTTAGAATTTTGTTGCAGTGGAATAGCTTCAGTTCTGCCTGGCCAAAAATACAGTTCATTGAGGAACACAAAGCGGCAGCCACGAGGCCACCATCTTCAGAAGCCATGTATTATGAGTTAAAAATAAATGCAGATCYTCTCTTCATTTCTCTGTGAATGTGTTTAATTCCAGGGCTGTCTTAAATGACAAGAAGTGTTGGAGTTGCGTGAAGGACAAGGCTGGYTTTAGAGCACTGGAGTGGCTTGTGGTCAGGATGGTGGTTGCAGCACATGGAAACATGGCTCAGGGGTTGGTTTGTGGGGATGGCTTAGGAGGAGATGCACAAGTTACCCATGTTTGTTAGGCGGGTGGTACAGCCCCCTCACTGTCYTGTGGTGGTCTGGAAAGTTGAAGATGGGGGTTGACCACCCTGTCYCCAAGGGCTGGGGACACCGTGTGTCCCCAAGTGCATGTCCTGCCTTGCAGATGGGCCCCGTGGGCTCTCTTCTCCCATATCCTCATGTAAGGCAACGTTGCAAGCACTTATCTGTGTGAAACCTGCTCATATGTGTGAAGGAACATGAGGTGAAGAGAGAACTTGGCCGAGTGCAGGGGACTTCTGAGCTGTAGGTTCACTTGTTCCCCCAGCCTGGGGCAGAGGCAGACACTACTTCATAGCTGCTGCCTACAGGCACGGCTTGRCTTGAGAAATAAGTGCCTTAATTCTCGCTGCTCCTGCTAAATAGGTTTGTACTCGCAGCTTAAATCTCTTTTGAGTTAAGGAAATTACTGTTTGTGTGATGTTAAGGTAGTTTAAAGATAACAGACACTGAAACCTTCTGTTTTGATGGGCACGACTGTCTTTAAGTGCTTTAAACCATGTTATTGAACCACTGTAGCAGCGCCCCAACAGGACGTGTGCAGGGACCTCGGAGCCTTTCCCCAGTGTCCCTTGGCCCGTTGGACACCATGTGGCATTGGTGGGAGGAAGAGCTCTTGTGGTGACCAGCAGTGGTGGCCGGTGGACTTTAGTTGGGTAACCTGCTGGGTGCAGCCTGGGTTTTACCACCTTGCCCCCTCTGACTTCCCTTCTTTTCTTTTTTTTTCTTTTTTTCCTCCTATTTTTTTGCCCTGCTTCTAAGGAGGGGGAGAACTTTCAAATTTTTCTGATGATGTTATTATTATTATTACTATTATTAATTATTATCACTATTGTTGTTGTTGTGATTTTCCCATCAGTGCTTTTCAAGGCGGGTGTGCGCTCAGGAGCGGCTGCTGCCGTTCTCGGCAGGTTTGGAGCGCAGGACGCAGCCCGCGGTGCAAACACAGCACCTGGGGCATGTGGAGCTGTTGCCTGCCTAGCCAAAGCAGCTGCTGGAAAGAGCTGGTGGCTCTGGAGAAGCAGCAGAGAGGGTGAGGAGGMGGAGGCTGAAGGCACGTGTCATGGGAGAAGGGGGTGCTGATGCTCCACACTCCATCTTGGGGAGATCCTGCCTCTCTCCCCCCCAGCAAAATCCACCTCCAGAGCTGTGCAAGGCGATGGCAGGTGCTGCCACAAGGTGATCCCAGGGTGGAAGAGCTTTACGGGCTGTTCTTTGAAGCTGTTGCCCGCTTGCTTGCTCCTAGACACGTGGGAGGTGCCCTTTGAGGAGATCTCGGAGCTGCAGTGGCTGGGCAGCGGCGCGCAGGGAGCTGTTTTCCTGGGCAAATTCCGAGCCGAGGAGGTGGCCATCAAGAAAGTGAGAGACCAGAACGAGACTGACATCAAGCACTTGCGGAAGCTCAAACATCCGAACATCATTGCCTTCAAGTAGGTTGGGGTGTCTGCTGGAAGCACGTGAGCACCACCCCTGTCAGGGGAGAGGGTGRCAGCTCTCATGCCCTGGCCAAATTCTTCATTGAGGAATCAAGCTGTTGGACAGAGCGGGCAGTTGCCCTTTGCGTCCTCTTTCATGTTGGCCCTTGCTGTGAAAGGGAAGCTGTGGACCCCAATGCTGCCCCTTGGGTACGCTGACAGACTGCGTGCTGTGACCCCTGCCCACATGYAGGCAGTCCAAGAATCACAGCATGGTTGAGGTTGGAAGGGACCTCTAGAGATCATCTAGTCCAACCTCCCTGCTCAGGCAGGGACACCCAGAGCACGGGGCACAGGGTGGCATCCAGGCGGGTTTTGAAGACCTCCAGAGAAGGAGACTCCACAGCCTCCCTGAGCAGCCTGTTCTAGGGCTCTGGCACCCTCACAGGAAAGAAGTTCCTCCTCATAGGAAGATGGAACTTCCCGTTGCACCCATTACCCCTTGTCCTGTCATTGGCTACCACTGAGAAGAGCTTGGCCCCTTCCTCCCTACATTCCCCCTTCACATACTTACACATGTTAATCAGATCCCCTTTCAGTCTTCTCTTCTCCAGGCTAAACAGGCCCAACTTGTTCAGTCTCTCCTCATACAAGAGATGTTCCAATCCCTTAATGATTTTTGTTGCCCTCCGCTGGACCCTCTCTAGAAGCTCCACATCCCTCTTATACTGGGGAGCCCAGAACTACACACAATATTCCAGGTGCGGCCTCACCAGAGCTGAGTAGAGGAACCACCTGCAGTCTCCAGTGCAAAACACATCAAAAACATCTCCTCTTCCTTGCCAGTAAACTAGGTAGCCAAACTTTGCCCAAGCAGGCTGCTCTCCTGGCCCTTGGCTGCCAAGTTTGAGCTGCTCTGGTGGTTGCCCTGCGTTGATGCTCACCCGGTGCTGTCTGTCTTTGGCAGGGGGGTTTGCACACAAGCCCCGTGCTACTGCATCATCATGGAGTACTGCGCGCACGGGCAGCTCTACGAGGTGCTGCGCGCGGGGCGCAAGGTCACGCCGCGCCTGCTCGTCGACTGGTCCACGGGCATCGCCAGCGGCATGAACTACCTGCACCTCCACAAAATCATCCATCGAGACCTCAAGTCGCCCAAGTGAGTCCCCACCTTCTTTAATCACCCCCTGATGTTTTAACGTCGGTTACTTTAGCTTGGCTTCCTGCTTTGCAAGCATGGATCTACTGGGTTGCACCCTTGGATTTGGGAATTTGACTGTGGAGCTTAGCTGTAGTGTTGAAGGACCACGCTGGCCACCTCTGGCCATGTACCAAGAGTACGTGCAGCTCTCTGTGTCCCGGCAGGAGCTGGAGATCTATTCCTGAAAGTCTGTAGTAGAAGTAGAAAGCTTTCCAGGTGCTGATTTCCTGTTTTCTTCTTTCCAGCGTTTTAGTTACACACACGGATGCAGTAAAAATCTCCGATTTTGGTACTTCTAAAGAACTCAGTGATAAAAGTACCAAGATGTCGTTCGCGGGTACTGTGGCTTGGATGGCCCCGGAGGTGATACGCAATGAGCCTGTCTCTGAGAAGGTGGATATCTGGTGAGTACCACTGTTGGTTTAATTAAATGTTTTCACTTTGTTTAGCCACTTGCTTTTCCAGTGTTCATGTGTCTAGTGCTTTTTTTATTACCCTAGGGATAGGGATAGTTTGCTCTTTGGAGTATTCAGTTCTCAAAAGATAGGCCGAGGGTGCTGAACCCTGTCACTGAACCACGGGCTGAAATGGCAAGAAAAATGACACATGTGCAAAAACTTGAAAAGCTTCTGCTGGCCTCAAGGGTCCAGCCCTCTTTTCTCCACGCTGGCAGTTACCGTACAGCCACGGGAATATAACTGCTGGAACTAACCCTAGATCCACCAGAGAGGAAACCAGTAAGCATTATAGGMAGTCTGAATTCCTATAATAGGAATTCCTATTTCCATACCAAGTGAAATGTATTTTGTGTCCCAAGGGTCACAAGGAAAAGTCTCTGATATTAGAAACGCCTRAGAGAGAACCTGGCTCTGGAGCTCCCTTGGGATGCGATTCCTCAGGGTCTTCCAGGGAACCACATCTCTGTTTCTGCTTCGTTGTTTCTGGTTATTAAATGACAGCAACCAGGACAAATGCACCTCTTGTGGCTTCCAGCTTGGAGTGCTGTCAGCCTCTCCTATGGAGTGTGAAGCCCCAGGCTGCAGCTGTAGGTGGTTTGGAGCAGGAGTGGAGCCATCTGACTCAACTCAGCGCCCTGCTCTCTGCTACCGCTGAGTTGGATCACGCCTTTAAGTCAGGATTTCCTGCAGGGAAAGTCTTGTAGCACGTGGGGTGCTGTAGTGAACACGTGTTCTTGCACCTTGTCCTGAGAGCCTCCTCCTGCCAGAACTGGTCAACAAGAGCAGCAAGAATTAGTCATCAAGAACACTTTTTCCCTGCAGTGGGCTCATATTCCCAGGACTCAGTCCTAGAAGACATCCAAGAAACCACACGCTCTTGTGCCTTGCTTACAAAGAGTCATCCCCAAYGGAGTGTCATGGCTGTTTTCAGCACACAGGGATCCATCTCGGAAGACTGGATGAGCGAGAGGACTCGTGGTCATGGTTTTTCAGGTGACCAAGGCCATGGAAGAGATTAGGACGATCATTCCTGGGAAAAGCTTTCCTCTGTCTCAAGCAAACGTTACTTTTGGAAGACACAGCTATAAAGGAACGTTTTGTGTCTTTGTTGTGTAATTTGGCATCTGGGCTTGGGCCAAAGTTTGGACCTTCATTTTAAGGCCAGCTCCAACATAATCAGCTCTTCTGAGAGAAGTTCTTGAATTTAGGGTTTGATTTAGGAAGAAATTACAGTTGCCGTTTTTCTCCTGAGCAATTCCCTTTGAATCCCAGATTCGTTAAGAGAGATGTTGTTAGATTTTCACCCTCAGCTTCTCCTTTAGAGTGTCTTCAACTCGAGCGCATTGCTTGGAGCATCATGCTCAGGAAGGAAGAGCCCTTAGCCCTTCTGAGGACTCAGAGTGCTCCTTGGCTCCTTTCCCAGAAGACTTGCAGATGTCACTCTTTTCAGTATGAATCTAGGGATGCGAACTTGACCATCGTGCCCTGATTCCRGCACATATCAACACCACGGTTCCTGCATCACCCTTCCTTCTGCTCCCAAATACAACAGCCTCTCGAGGATTACTTGCAGTGAGGCAGTATAGGCAATATAGACGTGTTTGGCTTTTGCTGTTTGCACAACAAAGAGAGAAGCAGCTCCCACATTGGTGGCAAGAGGGGGACAGGTCTGTGTGTAAGTTTTCCTCCATCAGAGGAGTAACTGCTGAAACTCTTCCTTGACATCCCCCTCTCTGCAAGATGAGTAAAAGTCCCATTCYTCAATGCTGCCAGCAAATGAGAACAGTTCCTAAGCTGCTTACATGTCTGCTCTCTCTCATCCTTAACAGCATGCTAAAAAAGAAAATCTATAATCTTATCAGAAGTCTTGAAAATCCTATGTTGAGTCTTAATCAGAACAAAGCTGAAACCAGATGGGGTTTTCTGGTAGCCTGTCCAAACACCTGGGATCTCTCCTTTCTTGCAACCTGTGGAGAAATGTTTCYAGGGGAAAAGAAAATCAGATTCTGATTTTGTATATGTTGTGTTCTGCATCCTCACTTTTCACATTCAGATTATTTGTCCCTGGGGTGGTCTTCCCTACTTAATAAAAATAATTTGATGCGGTCCAAGCCAGGACAAGTCGCTTTTCACGTGGCTCAACGGCAGAGCTGGTGTCCAGGGGGTGCACGGGATGCAGGTGAGGAGATACCTGTGGGTGTGCAATCGGGCTGGCTGCACCTCCTCTCTTGGCTCAGCCCAGTCCTAATGTGCCCTGTGAGGGGTGTTGGTTTGTGGCTTTGGTCCCTACTTGGTGGTTTCACTACGGAAGGGGAGCACATGAGGTTTTTTTACTTCCCTTCCTTAAAATAGGAGATTCTTCCTCGGCAAAGAGCTGATCTCTTTAATTGTGAATACCTGTTGTTCTTGCATCAGGTTGTTGCTTGAAGAGCCACTCCAGATGAAATTACACCTGCCTTTGATAGCGATGTTTGCACATGTTGCGTCTGCTTCTTCGTTTCCACCTTGCAGCAGTTCACAGTGATGAGCCTCATGAGCATCTGAAGCAGCTGCCTAGGTGTATTATGAGTTGCTGAGTACCCACAGCAGCACGGGGAGCTTTGGCTAGGAAAAGGAAGGTTAAATGACATAAAACCATAGCTTTGTGCGTATGAATACTGGCTGTCCTGTGGAAGATGATCTGTTTTTACCAATATGCAGTAGCTGCTCTTGATTTGTTGCTAGTATTTAGACACTGTTATATCTACTTGCAGCTCCAGATTGGACATACCTAGTTCCATGTTCCAGGTGCTTCTGTTAAATCTCATTCACGTGYAAGTATTACCCTCGTTTTGTTTAATTTTTGTTCACCAGGTCATTCGGGGTAGTTTTGTGGGAGCTGCTTACGGGAGAGATTCCCTACAAAGACGTGGACTCCTCTGCCATCATCTGGGGTGTGGGCAGCAACAGCCTGCACCTTCCCGTCCCATCCACCTGCCCRGATGGCTTCAAAATCCTCATGAAGCAAACCTGGTAAGAGCCTGGCTCCCGTGCATCGTGAGAGCTGCCACCAGACCCTGCTAGACCTATAGAGAACCCAGGGAAACGAGGGTCAGGTTGGGAGGGTTTAGCCCAGAGCACTAAGGGCAGCTGTGTGGGGCCGTGAAGTGCAGGTGCTGCAGCCCTCCCTGCTGCCTCTGTGCACTTGTATCCCCACCTAGTGGAGCGAGGCTGCTTGGAGAGGAGAGGTGGCCCAAAACACTATTTCTGCCTATATTTTAACACTGTGTAGTGCAGCAGGCCTGGCGGGYCGGGTCTCAAAGCTGGATCACAGGCTCTTTCCTCAAAACTACTGATGGATTTGCGCTGAAATGGCATTTTATGCAGATGTTCAGTATGTATCAGTACTGGAGGCTCAAACTTGTGCCGTCTCACCATACGGTCGTCTCTTGTAGTTTTGGCTCTAGTTTGTCAGCAGGAGGATTCAGAGGGCTGGTTTCTGGTGATTAGCGCTTTAGGAGGTCAGGGTTAGACAGTCAGTTATTAACTCAATGTCATATTAATATCTGGTCTGTTTTGTTCCAGGCAGAGCAAGCCCCGGAATCGGCCCTCGTTCCGGCAGACACTGATGCACCTGGATATTGCCTCTGCTGATGTGCTGGCCACTCCTCAGGAAACCTACTTCAAATCACAGGTAACTGGAGAACGGCTGTAGCCCGTGAACACTGCAGTTGGCTCCAGGGGTGTCATTCCAGGAACTGCACTTGTGCAGCAAAGTCATAACCCATGATTTTCRTTTGATTCTTGAGGGGAAGAAAGCTGCTGGGTGTTCAGAAGTCCCAGGCTTTCACAGGCTGAGACATCYGCTGGCTTTTGTCACACACTCGACGTTGTCTCATTCTCGTGTCTCTGGAGACTGCTGACTTCAGAGGTTCTGCTCCCAGCTGTTTGTGCTTGAACAGGAAGCTCTGCTGCAAGAGGAAGGCGCTGCATTTATTAGTGAGGATGAGCAGAGCAGCAGGAGGGCAGAGAGCTGTCGCAGAGCAGTGAAAGGACACGGGGACTCTTGGGAAAGATCTAAAAGGATGTTCTTGGACGTTCCTTTGAGGCCTTCCCAGTTGGCTTCTCCCAAGWTGGGAACAAAGATGAATGAAGATGAACCTTGCCTTGAGTACTGACGGTGTTCAAGGGGTGTGGAAATGGGTGCCCTTTATTAAAGCTGCCCAGAGCAAGGGCTTCCAAGGACAAATAGAGTTAGTATCACCCTAACAACAGTTGTCTTTTTAATGAATAGAGTTGTGGAAATGATTGACCTTTCAATATATTTTGAGTGACAAAAAAAGAAGAAAATCTCTTAAAAGTTCTCTTGGAGTTTGAGGGTGTTTTATGTATTAAAAGAAAAAATGCAGGTATCTTTTTAGTAAGCTAATTGGCAGTATCAGATGAAAATGCAGGAATAAAACATGTTGCAGCACTTTCACCCAAATAACTCGGCTAGAAGCACGTTTTCCACATGAATCTGTAATTCCTGCAAAGAATATTGCCCAGGAATGTTCCTTTGGAGCAACCAGAGTGCTCGGTGCTTTGTAAATATCCATGAGTAAATTATTTCCCTAGGCTGAATGGCGAGAAGAAGTGAAGAAACACTTTGAGAAAATTAAAAGTGAAGGAACCTGCATCCACCGGCTAGATGAAGAATTGATTCGTCGTCGGAGAGAAGAGCTCAGGTTTGTGGACAGTCTTTTGTGCCTGCTGCTTCATTTCTCCCATTTGGTCTTTTCTTTCTCATGGCTCCAGGCTGAAGTTCCTGCTGGCATGTTCTAAGAACTGCTTACTTGCTTTGGATTGCTCTCCTCTTTGCTCCTCATTTATCAGTCTATCTGAATTGATTTTGAAGATTAGGCCAAACTAAAAATAAGCATGAAGTTTAAGCGTTACCTTCCTTGCTATGAATTTTCAAGTAGGATTGTGAAAAGAGAAAGCTAAACCACCAAGTAGCAGCTCTGTGTTAGACTTGGGAAACTGCAGGAAACCTTTTTCAGACACTTTGCCATAGCTGTTGATTGGTGCTGCTTCGGCCTGGGAAGCTTCTGAAGCTTTCCACTCTGGTTCAAGATGTCTTATACCACTTAACTGCAGTTTGAGAGATGTACTGCTTTTTATGAAGTACAAACAGATGATATTTTTCCYCACTCTTCCTGTAATGTAGGTGGCAAATTTGACATTAAGACCTTTTCCTTGTTCTCCTCTTTTGGTCCAGGCACAGCAGAGTGCAGAATATTGATATTTTTCTTTTTCCTTTTTTGCAGGCACGCGTTGGATATCCGTGAACACTACGAGAGGAAGCTGGAGCGAGCCAATAACCTGTACATGGAGCTCAGTGCTATAATGCTGCAGCTGGAGGTCCGCGAGAAGGAGCTCATCAAGTGTGTATCTCCGGGCAGAGTGGCACATTGCAGCCTTGGCAGGGGACACAGAGGGGAATAAACTGGTGGTTCGTTTCTGGGTGGTCATGCTTGCAGATTTGGTCTCCACGTGGACATGCTTCCAGGGCTGAAGAAGGGGTTGGGAGGTGGAGAGAGACCTGTTAAAGATTACACTGCTGCAGACCACCTTGTGCACACCCAGTGCTTACCAGCTGAGAGAAGCATCTTTCCACTTTACCCTTTAGCACCACGGTACCCTTTAGCACCACGGCAGAGGGAAATGCAGAATATTCAGAATATCATAGTTTTTTTTCTAGAGGGAAGGACTTAGCTGAGCTCCCATCTGTAGCTGTGAAGCAGGCACAGTGCAGGCTGACACAGAGCTATGCTTCCTCCAGCAGGACTTGCAGTGAGATGGAGAAGAGAGAACTGATCTGCTTTATTTTGTTATTTTTTTTTCCCTTCCCCTATATTTCAGGAGGGAACAAGCAGTGGAGAAGAAGTATCCTGGGACTTACAAACGCCATCCAGTCAGACCAATAATCCACCCCAATACAGTGGAGAAGCTGATGAAGAGGAAAGGGGTCTCCCATAAACCCGGCAGCCAGACTAAACGGTAAGAAGCAACAACCCARTCACCAGGAAGCAGCTGTAGATCCCCACTGAGTCGGGCAGGTGACTTGCATCCCTTTGAGATTAGTGTCCACTCAGGACAGGCCAAAGCAGTMTTGGGCCTGATCTGATCCTCAAAACCACATTTGATCCATTTTCTTAAGGAAAAAGGTATAAATCCCACCTTTCCTTTTAGCTGGACAATATTCTGGAACCAGTTGGTCTATAGAAATTTTTCCAAGGTAATGGTGTTCTGGCAGGAGGCATCGGATGTGTCTGCTTGAACCATAAGAAATTCAAGAAAGAGCAGTTTGCTCGTCCTTGACCTGGGTATTAGTAAGCAGGGATTGTGGGAATCGGCCAGTCCTYGGGGAGGATGGATTTGTTGCCCAGGAATTAAATTGGGATCCGCGATGTGTGAATTCATTGCCCTTTCAGCTTGTGTCTCTCTGCATGACTTTCAGAAAGTGAGATACTGTGGGATTTTTCAGGGGAGCTGAGCATCCTCCTCCCTTTTTATGGGATTTCTAGGAGTTAGAGAGTTGCTGATTAACGACGAGTAATTACTTTTGAATTAATATTCATATATGCATCTGACATAAGCAGGCTGACACCGTCAGCAGATTGGAGCCTTGAGTGTATGGTAAGAGATGTGCCCTACACCAAGGTCTTCAGCATAGGATGGAGTTATTTTGGGAGCAGATCATCAAAGTAGGGATGAAATAGAGGAGGAGCAGGGGGGTCACATATTGGAAAGGGCAGCTGGAAAGTGGTGTGGGGCYTGATGGGCTGAACAGAAAGGACATTGAGGGGAAAGATCAAAAGGAACTGAAAGCAGAAATAAGGCATCTAAAGGAGAGGAAAGCCTGGAGATTGGAGAGCAGGGTCTGCTAATGGCTGCAGCTGCCTCTTCGTCCTGACTTCAAGCTGCTGTTACTTAATTCTTGGGTTAATGCTGAGCTTTTGCTGACCCCCTCAGGCCGGATCTGCTGAAGTCGGAGGGCATCCCCAGCGCCGAGGCAGCATCCACAGGCTCGCCCGTCTCAGGAAGTCCCAAAATGTCAACGCCGGGCGGCAAGAGCCGCTACCGCAGCAAGCCCCGCCACCGCCGCGGGAACAGCAAGGGCAGCTCCAACGATTTTGCAGGGATCTTGAAAAACCAGCCAGGGCAAGACGACGTCCCCCCCGCTCCTCCTCAGAATCCCTCTCATCACCCCGGCGTGCAGCAGCCCCACGGTCAGGGCCATCCGCCGGGCCCCCCRTCGCGGCTCCACGGCCAGGACATCGCCAACTGCGCCAACAACCTGCGGTACTTCGGCCCCGCGGCCGCGCTGCGGAGCCCGCTCAGCAACCACGCGCAGCGGCGCGTGTCGGGCTCCAGCCCCGACCTCATCTCGGCCGCCGTGGAGGCCGATTGCCGGCGGAGCCTGGAGAGGCAGCACGGCGACGCGGAGCGCTGGGAGTGCTGTCAAGCGGAGCCCTATGATTCCTGCCTGCAGTGCAGGCAGGACGACGGCAGCCGGGTGGAGATGCCGCTCGAAACGGGCATCGAGCGCTCGCGGTCCCCGGCTTGTGTTTCCCTGTATGAGAACGCGCAGTTTGTGGAGAAGATGGAGGAGGAGGCGGCGGCCCTGGGGGCTCCCCAGCACTTGGCTTCTGCGGTGCTGCCTTGCAAAACGAGGGCCCTGCAGAAGGTGAGGAGGGCGCCGAGGTTTGGGGAAGCGCCAGCCAAAGAGGTTTGGGTTCTTGCCGGCGTGGGGTGGGCTGGCGTGGGGCTGTGGGAGAGCRGCAGGGCCATGTGTCACTGCGCAGGGAAAAAGTGAATTCCCAAGCAAGGGAGCGGGCGGGCCTGGGATGAGGGGAGAGGGACRTGGGGTGAGATATAGGCTGATACCAAAGTGGGAACCAGGAGTTGGCAGCTTAGTTGGGACAGGGTTAGATGGGGGAAAAACAAGATGTTGAGTCTGGGCTTGGGCGGAAGGAGAAGAAAAAGCCACACTCATTGAGGTAGAAAATGGCATGAAACTCAGTGTTTGTAGTTAATAAAAATCCACTGGAAGAGGATGTGTCACCCTCTGTCCTGCTTCATGATGCTTCACGTAGGAGAGGCTGAAGTGGTAAAGCTAGGAGTGCTAAATCAGCTCCGCTTATGTGGATTTCAGTGTGATCCTAATTATTTGGTTTGCTTCTGTAAAAATACAGACAATTATGTACACAGGGCCTTCCTAAAGCACTCCGGTGTATTTTGAAGTTAAGCACTCCAAAATTAGGAATGGCAGCATTAAAACCACCTGCAACAATCCCCTTGTGAAAAGAAGGCACAGTCAGTTCTCACTGTGAAAGAAGCTTCTTCTCTGGTCTGGACTTCCAGCCTGTGACCACAGTGACCTAGGGAAGCAACGGGCAGCCAGGTAGCTGCATGTTTGTTCTTTTACAAATGCAAAATCCACCTTCTCATCCTTGTTCCCCTCCAGAGCGGCGATGACTCCTCGGAAGAAGAGGAGGGAGAAGTCGACAGTGAAGTGGAGTTTCCTCGTAGGCAAAGGTAAAGAGTGAATTCACTGCAGTCTTGGCTGGGACACGGCTCAGAGCTGTCACAGCAGCTGCATGGCAGTGTGGAACAGTAGAGCAAAGGAGCGGGCACATTCAGAGGGTCCCATCCRTGGTCTTTGGTCATCCTTCTTGTTGACTTGCTGTCAGTTTGGTCACCCTGGGTAGCAAGGGTTGATATTATTCAGCGTATAAAAATAAGCTATTTTGTCCTCAGATTCAGCCTTCTGGATGCTGGTAGGCTTTKCAGGCTCTTTCAGATGTTGTTTATTAGCTGTTGCTGCAAGGGGCTGCTTCCAGCACCTTTGTTAGGGGGATTTGAGTAGGATTCAACAGCAAGGCAAGAACACAGAGGATTAAATTTGGTGATGTCTCCTATAGAATAGTAGACTCAAGGAAGAGTTCCTGCCTCAGCACCTGTAATGATGGGTTTAGCAGTCCTGTGCTCAGAGGTTGTGGCTTTGTTGCAGCAGCTTTACGAAAACAGCCACTGAACGGGCAGAAATGATGTTGTGGGCAGATAGAACAAAACCTCATCTTTTATTGTATACATCCCTGTCCCACCTGCAGCTTGAATGCTCAACGTCACCTTGTTGGCTCAAAGCCCACGGGCAGTTTGGAAGGGTGCGGAGGAGTGTGATAAGGATGGTTAGAGTTGGGTTCTAGAGGAGAAGTTAAATGGATTAGCAGTCTTTGTCTAGGGTGAGGAGAGGGTGTAATGGAATGGTGAATTATGTGGAGGGAGTCAACGAGGAACAATTACTCCTGTTGGAACTAGGTTATGTAGTGAATAAAGGAATGGGTTTGATGGAGAGAAAAAAAAAAAAAAAGAAACGTTTTTTGTGTCCAGGACTCTGTCAAATGCAGAGYTTGTTGTCAAGGGATGCTGTGGAAATTGAAATATAAATGGGTTGAAAGTGTTAAATTCATGGAGGATAGGTCAGCTGGTGGCTGTTGAGCAGTGCAGTGCCTGTTCAGTCTCCAGCTCAGGAAGTCGGTTCTGCTGATGGCTGCAAAGCAGGAAAGGGTGCCAGGGGAAAGGAGGCTCTGTCTGTACRCCCTGTTCTCATCATCTCCATGATTATTTTGGGAAAAAAAGAGCTGAAAAAGGGGAATGTGCATCAGGGAAGATCAGCTGGTATGAACACATAGCAGAGAATACTGAGTAAGATGAGGGAGATGAAAACCATGCGTCTGAAGTCATTCACAGGGTGATAGATTCCCCTGGCCCCAGACCGTGAGGGGCAGCCCCACATTGGGCAGCTCTTGGCCCCTGCCATGCGACTTGGTGGCTGGGGATGGCTGCATCGGGCAGCAAGGGGCATTTGGAGGCACTTGGAGGGCCTTTCTTGGCGGTGGGAGCTGCTCTGCTGCACAGAGGTGCTCGGAGGCACCGTGGGCTTGGCCCGGAGTGAAGCAGCAGCCGGAGCGTGGCGGGTGCCGGGTCTGAGAGGCAGGGACACGGGGACGGAGCCGCTCGGGAGCCCTCTGCACCGAGGAGCTGGGACTTCCCTCGCCAGCGGCAGGGAGAGGTTCATCCAGGGCTGAGCAGGCTCCACAAGCAGGGGCAGCAGCTCTGGGGTCACAGGCAGGAGAGCCCGACCGAGCACAGAGGAAACCTCCGTGTTTGGTGTTTGAGGCTGGGGGCACTCTGGTACCCACTGACGCGCTCCCGCTCCGCAGGCCTCACCGCTGCATCAGCAGCTGCCAGTCGTACTCGACCTTCAGCTCGGAGAACTTCTCCGTGTCGGACGGAGAGGAGGGCAACACGAGCGACCATTCCAACAGCCCGGACGAGGTGGCCGCCAAGCTGGAGGACGAGCTGGCCGAGAARCTGGAGGACATGTTGTCCCAGACGCCCGAGATCCCCATCGAAATCTCCACGCAGTCCGACGGGCTCTCCGACAAGGAGTGCGCCGTGCGCAGGGTCAAGACTCAGATGTCTCTGGGCAAACTCTGTGCAGACGAGCACGGCTCTGAGGTGAGTTGTGGGCTTAAGAGTTTCTGCTCCGTTCTACTCAATGATTAGAAAAGAAAAACTTAGGGAAAGAAAGGAAAAAGGCAGAAAGCTGCAAGTCCACCTAGGGAGCAATATGGTAGATGGGCCACAGTGAGGGGACTGCTGAAGTATCTGGTCTCTTTTGCACTTGGCCAAGTGAATAGACAAAAGAAGCACCAGCTAAGCTGGACAGGGTTTGCTCTTCACTTTGAGAGAAATGCTGGGAGACATTGGATCTGCAGTTGCATTATAGAGGATTAAAAAATAGCAGATAAAGTAGACAATGGGAGAGAGAGAAGTGTTCTGCATTGGACCGACGTGACAGCCTTGCCTGTTCTGCCTTGCCAACAGACTTGAGATTTTCTTTCTTTTACTGTTTCAAGCATTTGGAAGCGGGGAGGGCACAAGGCTCCCACACCATCTTTTGGTACCTCTGTCTGTGCGTTGATGGTGCAGATATTTTTCTGCCCTAGAAGTGTCCTGTGGAGCATTTTGGTAACCAAACACTGCTGTAGAAGGCCTGGCACTTGGTGGCTGTCATGCCTTGAGCCAGACCCTTCTCCAGAGGAGGGAAGAGGCCTATTTCAGGGTGCCTGTGCGCTGCTGATGTCTCTTCCTTGTGCCAATGGGGACATTTTCCAGTTTCCTGTTACAGACAGGGACACTGTGGTGCTTTTTCAGTGCAGGAAAGTTGCTCAGAACATCTTTTTCCCTTTTGCTTTGTAGAACCCGGCACAGTTTGGCGAATCAGACTGTGACTCTTCCGAAGGGGAGTGCTCTGATGCCACAGTCAGGACCAATAAGCCCTGCAGCTCTGCTACTTGGTAATACAGATCTCCCCCAAAGCTTCCTGATACTGGCATTTTGATTTCCCTGAGATTCCACTTCATTCCCCTTCACCACACTTGACAGGAAGAGAAGATGCTTCTCCTTCCCACCCCAGGAGTGATTTGCAATAACCTGAATCTCTGGAGAAAATGTCCAAATGAAATTAATTCTCTTTGAGCATTTCAATCAAGAATGGCAGGGATGTATTTTATTGAATAATCTAGTTACTGTAACATGGATATTTATTTTTTTGACATTTTAACACTTTTTACTGTAAAGAGTGGATTGTATTTATAGACACACAGACTTGTTGCAAAAAAAAAAAAAAAAAAAACAGAAAAACAAAACAGAAAAAAAAAAAAAAAAAGAGAAAGCAAGCACACACTACGGAGAACATCATGGGAGTCCTGCCGGGCCGGCGTCGTGTACGAGCACGGGGGATTCTCTTGCTGCTTTCACAGGGGACCAGGCCTTGTGGCCCTGAAGATTGGCAAACAGATCAAGAAAACGAAACCATTCAGTCTTATCCGATGAGGAAGCCTAAAAAGACCTTTCCACAAGGTAACCTGTGAACAAAGCGTGTTCAGTATAACCAGCTGGGTCATTTTTAATCAGAAGGTGGACGTGTTCCTGGAGAGAATTGGTACCGAGGTGCTAACATCCAGGGTCTTCTGAGTCACTACATCCCCAGGAATGTAATAGCGGGTTTTATTTTAGTTTCTTTTTTTCTTTTTTTTTCTTTTATTTTTTTTTAAATCAGCATTACGTTGTGAGATCCTGCAGGTGTACTCTAACCTCGTCCTCTTGAGAACTGGTGTAAGAGCACTTAACATCACCCTCGCTTCCCTCCGGCAGCGCCGCTCTGCAGTCGAGCGTGGCCGCCCCTTCAAGCTGCAGCGTTGCCACTCCCTGGTTTATTCCTCCTCTTCCCTCCTGCCCGTTTCAGTTGGTCGGAGAAAAATCAAGGGAATGGGTGTTSGTGAAGCGAGAACAGCAGGACGGGGCAGACGGTCTCACCCGGGACGGCATCAGAAACCAACGGAGAGTGCGGTGAGGGGGAAGCCAGGGAATGGAGCGGTCCCACTCCGTCTCCTCGTTCCGGTGTGCGCTCGGAAGCAGCATTGGCAGCCGCCTGCCCTTCCCTTGGTGTCGGGCTCCGACAGGAGGCGCGCGGGCAGCCGGAGCGGTGGCCGGGGCGGCGCTTCTGAGCGCCCCGTTTGTCGCCTCGGCTGGTGGCAGCGCGGCTGGCCCGGCGCGCGGCGTGGGCCGAGGAGGCAGAGGTGTTTTCGGGTAGATCTCATAGTGCCTTCCCTTCCAACACTCCTCTGCTCCATCAACCTTGCAAGAGAACAAAACCCCGAGCACGTCTGGCCGCCCTCAGCTGCCGCCCCGCGAGAGCTGCCGCTCTGCCCCGGCTCGCGCGCGGGCTGGCGCTGCTGTTGCATTGTTTACATTTTGTGTTTGAATATTGGTTTGAATTGAACTGTGGTAATTTATAGCCTCACGGCACCATGAAGGAAAATGTCTTATACAGAGAGCAGTATTGTATGAGTTAAATTATCCCATATTTTTAAATTTTTGTAGCTGGCCTACACACAGATTTTAAGTTATGATGTTATTTTATTATTTATTATCGTTTCTGTAGATCAGAAGGTGGGCTTCACCGCTAGCACAGCTGGAACGCGCTGGCTGATGCTGCGGGCCCCGGCAGGACGGGGCGGGAGCGGAGCGGGGCCCGGGCGTCCGGCGCCTCTCGCGCTCCCCAGGGATGCAGAGAGCCCTGCGGGGCGGGCATCGGGGGCCCGGGATCCCCCTTGCTCACAGCTGCCGATGGAGTTGATGCTCCCGAGGTGCTGGGGGACGGGGAGCGATGCAGAGGGGAATGAGGCTCGTCTGCATCTCCYGTTTCCTGCCCCTGTCTCGCCCTTCCACCCCAGGGCTCGTCATGGCCGATGGCAGCTTTGCCGTCGCGCTGGGGTGGACGGAGGTGGCAGGGTCCCTCCTCGGGAATCCGGAGGTGAGGGCGCAGGAGCTGGCCATGGGGCGCAGGGGGAGAGGCCTGAACCTGCATCACCGCCCGTGATGCGGGGCCCCGTGCCCGCACACGCTGCTGCTGGCGTCACGCTCCGGCCCCGCTCGGTCTAAGCGCTTTCCGTGCCCAGCTCCTCGCGCTGCCGCTTCCCGCATCGCTCCCTGTGGCCGCTGCTCTCGCGCGGTGCATCCCGAACCGCAGCCGGACATGGTCTCTGTCCGCGGTGCCGTTCCTGGCGGCTGCCGCCCTCGCAGCCACCGCTCACGTGCAGGGCAAGGTACAATGTGGGTTCCCTCTCTGGCATCCCGGCCCCCCTGCTCCGGTTCTCGTGGCTACTGACAGCTCCTGAACACTAGCCTAGATTTCCTCCCAGAGCTGAATGTTGCCTTCCCCACTGTCGTGTTCAGTAACCATTTCATCTCGGCCCAGTCCAGTAGTGTTCATCTCTCTCCCCTGCTCTGCGGATTCCTGATACAAACTTGATTTTTTTGTATTGAACAGTGTACAGTGATGGAAACAAGAATGACTATCAAAGCAAACAATGCATGGAATAAAAAGCCAGTGTAACTTCAATGCTTCTCAGGCTGGTCTGGTGCTGCAGGGCCAGTTTGTGGGGTCCAGCTGGGGCTAAAGCCACCGAGCTGCTCATACCTAATGCCCGTGGGTGGCAGCAGACAGCAGGTTGGATTGGCCTGGTGCTGASCTCAGCTGAGCTCTGTCTCCTGGGGGCAAAGGCTGTGTGGGGCGCACGTAGCCCAGTGAGCARACGGGTGTTCCTGGACCTTTGCTCTTGTCCAAGGAGCGATACTGCTGTGAGAGCTGGGGCKTGAGGCTGCAGCCTTGTCTCTTCTCTCGCAGCCTGGGGCCCTTTCCTTGCTGCTGGGAGTTGTAAAAKGGATCAAGCAATTTCTGTCAGCTCTCCATATGCCTTTGGGTCTCCCACCACGGTCCCTTCCTGGCCMGCTTGTCCACTTTGTCCTCAGAGCGGGGGGCAGAGCACTGAAACACAAGCACCAACCCCTGCGGAGCCGGTATCAGCCCTGGGGAAAGGCTGGGACTTGATCCCTGCCCACAGCTCTCCAGCAATGGGGACAAGCCCAGCTCCTCCTGGGAAACCACTTAGCTCTGCCTCTGTGTCGCCCTCTAAAGCAGCGTGGCCCAAGGACGATCTCTGATGCAGGGCAGCGATTTTTCTCCCAAGAGCAGATCACAGTGTGGAAGGTGCAGGCGCTCTGCAGCAGGCCCCCAGCACGAGCGGAGGTGGAGAATAGGCTCCTTGCTGCAAGCGCTCACCCACGGCTGAGTCACAGGGGGAAAAGTCTCCAGCAGAGCTTGCGAAAGCGCTCTCAGAGAGAGACAAACAACAGGACCTGAGATTTTTTTTTTCTTTTTACCCAAATGGGTGATATGTGGGGCTTTTTTGCRTTTTTAGGCAAAAAAAGCTGAATACTTAAGGGTATGAGAGGGCTGGAGGAATGAATAAGGGTGGGCAGGAGCTGGGAGCTGCTRCTGCTAGGATGGCAGTGGCTAAGAGCCCAGGTTTCTCAAGATGACTCCCTGGGCACTGCAGCCCCCAAGTGCCTGCAGGGCCAGAGCAGGACCCGGCGAGGCTGGCTGGGCTCTGCACCCGTGTGGTGCCGGCGCTCACAGCGCAGCAGCAGAGGCGCRGGCTGCTGCCTGCAAGAGGGAGGCAATGGCCAGGGCTTAAGGTGTCTAATCACCTTTCCCGAAGGGATCTGGCTTTTCCTCCCTTGCTTGCAATGTTGTGTGGAGTAGCAGCTCCGCTGAGCATGAGGAACATGCAGCCTTACATAAAGAGACAGGCACCGTAGCTAAAATGTTCGCAAAGCTCCTGTATAGCTCTCAGGGCACATACAGGCACAGTTACAATTTAAAAACAACCTCCTTCCACCTCCTCTTAGAYGAGAGGTATAAACCCGGCGCGTGGCCTGAGTCCAGGGCAGGGCAGCCCGTGCGAGGTCCCCACAAGCAGAGGCTGCAGCCCCTGGCGCCTGCTCCCCCGCAGCCTTCACGTGCTCTTCTTGCCATTGAGCAACGGAGCGGGCTCGTCCGCCTCCAGTTTCAAGTGCTTCTTGCCATAAYGTTTGATGAGGGTCCCCGGCACGAGCGCAGCCAGCGCCATGGCGARCAGCTTGAGCAGCGTGTCCCAGGAGAAAAGGGCATCCAGCGAGCTGATCTGCGAGAGCATGGCCCCCGTCTGCACGCAGATGAAGTTATAGGGCGTAAGACCTGGAAGAAGCAGAGCAAAAAAGGCCGGTCAGCGTCCCCCTTACCTTCCTGTGAGAAATCAGGGTTAGTTCAACCCTCCCAACCCTTTTCCTGGGTCAGACACWGTGCCTGAGATAGCAGGAGGGGGTCAAAGCCCCGCTCTGCCTCCCTATCTCAGCCCCTTACCAAGGAGGACGGAGAAGAAGAACTGCCCCACGGGGATGTTCAGGATGGGCGCYGAGAGGTTCAGGAACCAGTTTGGCGTCATGGGGAAGAGCCTGAGGAAGAGCAGGAAGAAGAACAAGCAGCTCCTGTTCTCCTCCACCTGCCGAGGGAAGCGGCCGGGGTGAGGGCTCCGTCCCCGCGGGGTCCCGTTGTCCCCGGGGGCCCCGCTCACCTTGCCCTGCAGCGCGGCCACCTGCCGCGGGCAGTAGTGCTCCAGCAGCCCCTTCCCGAAGGCCCCGGAGAGCAGGTAGCACAGGGTGGCTCCGGCGGCGGCGAGCGCCGAGCAGAGCGCCAGGCCCAGCCAGGGCCCGAAGAGGGCCCCGGCCAGCACGTTCTGCGGGGAGAGGCCGCGCTCAGCCCGCCGCCGCCGCCGCCGCCGCCGCCGCGGGGCCCGGGCCCTACCAGGAGGCTGGAGCCGGGGATGGCGAAGCTCTGCTTGTAGAGGTAAGCGGCGCAGAAGAGCAGCAGCGCGGCGCCGCCGTGCTCCCGCTCGTACTGCCGCAGCGCCTCGGCCGCCTCGCGCAGCTCCTGCACGTCCGAGGGGAAGCGCAGCGGCCTGCGGGGGGAGAAGCGGCGCCG